AGCTTAATTCATCTACTTTATCTATTTACCATTGCTTTCTGGTATCCCATATCACTCTTTATTCTTAAGCTCTAAATTCCTGCATTAACTGTCACCTTATAAAACGGGATTTTCCTTCACATAACACGCACATGTTCTGCTGCGTTTGGTCTAATACTGTTTTTTGTGCATTTTTCGAATTACAAATGCAGCGTATGAGTTGTGAAATCCTGGGAGAATATATAGAATTCAGTCAGCGCGCGCTATAAAATTCGTCACTCGTCTTACTGCGATGGTCTAAACTCCTTGAAGCCTTGTCCCCTTTCCAGTAAAGTCAAATGGACCCACCCGCCACCCAACTGAGGACCACAGAATGGTTTTCTCCGATAAGTTTTGATGGGTGTCCATACCGGTTTTTTTGAGTCAATATTGTTCGCTCAAGTTGTAGACAGATCCAGTGATCATAGAATAGGCGTCCTGATCTGATTCATTCAGTGTGCCGATCATAATAAGCAAGTATAGCGATGCGAATAAGAAACTTCATATTTACTTCTGAATATGTATAGTCATATTCTTAAACTGCGTATTTTTTATATTAGAAACATATGCAATCTATGCTTTCAGATTTTTGCATCACGTTGAGCTACTAGAACCACTAAGCCTCAAAAAGTGTTCTAGTTTTGAGAAGCACTATCATTCCCATGGGCATAATATGCAAACTTGGCTGATTGCTTTGGTGTCAACTGAGAACGGAAAAAAAAAAATAATAATACACAGTTTTTTTGTTTTTGTTTTTTTTCAAAAATTTTGAAATTATTCGCAGTGTCTTTTGATAAAATGACAGTTAATGAAGCATATTTTAGAGAGTTCACATGGTTTTGTTTAAAGAGACTCTAAAAGTGTATATGCTGTTGATGGTACTCTCTTAATATAAGCGCCTCCACCCAATTTAATCACTATTCAACTATAAGATGTGACATATTTGCTCCAACCACAGTTTAATATCCAATCTTATAATTCTTCGATCAATTTATTAGTTGCTTCTGTCCTTAGGGACAGATGTTCAATTCACTGGAATTATGTGCATTAAAAGACTTTCAATCAGTTGCCTCATTCTGAACTTAGATTTCACATGTGCTTCTCTTCCTTTTATTTTCAGTCCACATCAGCGGGTTTCGAAAGCTACGTGAGGCATAAAATCCGCGTGTTGTATATCACTAGTTCATAGCATTAATATAAGGGTTGCCCAAATGAAAAGTGGACAAGTTGAAGAAAAATAACACCTTTATTGTAAATCAAAAGAAATCGCCATGGGCGTTGAAACACAGGTCCCAGCGTTGCGGCAGCAGCTCGATGATGCTGTAGAAAGATTGGGGCTGATTCCTGAGGAAGTCCTGCACGGCTTATATAATTAATAGAGAAAATTTATAATGTCGTATTCCATTCACTTGACAAGATAATATTAATTTGCTTACGTAAATAATTATCATGTTGTTATTTGTTCGATTTTGCTTTAAAAACACATTCATTATAGAGCGATATTTCTTTAGAAATGAGTTCTCATAAAAATGCATTCTTTCAGTAACCGAGATACAGAAAATCAGAATAGTATATGCAGTAAACTATTGCATCACAAATAAACAGAGAAATATAGATAATGGAAGTTAATATATGTTTTTTATAATAACAGTATAGTATAGCTGACATTTTTCACTTCTGCCACAAAACGCAGAAGTTTGCTGTTAAATACAGTTTTAACAATTTGACATAATTCTTGCTCTGTATAAGTTGCCATTTAATTTATTTCATTTTATTTTATTACATCAGTTAAACTCTTTATTTAGAATTTTCCTTACTAGAAATACCAATGTTAGAAACACGTACTAATTTGTTTCGTATTCAAAACCTCTGTGGTCTTCTGTATAATTATAAAATAACATAGATTGATATAGCAAATATCCGAAAGCAGCTGCAGACCAATGTTTATAGTTACAAATATTCCGATTAACTTTAGTAGAATTCTGAAATATTTAAGGTATAGTACATTCCAAATACACATATTTAACCCTTTGACTACTATCGGGTCATATATGTCCCACTAAAAGTTTAAAAGTACTGTTGAGTTGAAAAGTATTTAGAATCTCCTGAATGCTAGGGATCATCTTCCAATAGTTGGAAAATCAAGACCCCGCTTTTCTCATTGTACACAAATGAACATAGAGAAAAGAACAAATATGAGTTTCCCAATGTGTAATGTTGGTTTATGCAAAGAATGCTTTACCCTGTACCATGCGATGTAAATATATTTCATACAATAAAGTTTTCCAGAATAATAGGCGTGCTTATAGTAAGTGGATAGCTATGTGTGGGATACATATGTATCTTACCGTTAAGTTCGGCTGTGACATATGTGTCCCAGTCTTTGGCTTGAAAACTGTTTGTCAAAAATTTCCCAAATGCTAAATTTATCTTATTTACGACATATTTTGTTCACTTGAATAGAAAACAAGATAATTCTTTTAAAGTTATCAAAGTTAGTCAAAGTGCTGAAGTTTCTCTTCCTTCTGAATCCATTTTCAAGTGACGCTTTCAAGTCACGATAAATAGTCCGCACAAATTACAAGTTATGTGTCGGTTTCTAAAGTAGAATTTCATTTCATAAACTTACCTCAGACATGTACGAGGGGGATTAAGAACAGTGTCCGGCTTATAATGAGATGCCACTGCATGAACCAGTCTCATGATGGCTTTTAGGTCACCTTCGCATACTTCTGTACAAAAAAAAAAGAAGAAATGATTATTCTTTCCTTGAATTTTACACTAAGTCAGGAGAGAAAATTTTAATCACATATTAATTATAAATATACACGTTAGTTATCAGGTATGTATGCAAACGCTGATCTAAATTTAAACAAAACTTAGCTTTCAGCTGACTATTAGATCTACTAGAAAGCTTTATATATTTGGAGAAAATTCAAAACAAGCGCCTCATTTCCACGAAGCAAAAATAGTCTCTGCAATTAAAATTCAACATTTTTTGCCTCTTTATTTTAAACTTCAAGAAAGCCTGTAGGGTCACACTCACATATTTAACTAGTCTGGTTTCTGTTGAGACTTAAGTGAGTTCCCTTAATGTAAGCGCCTCCCCCAATTTAATCACTATTCAACTATAAGATGTGACATATTTGTTCCAACCACAATTTAATATCCAATCTTATAATTCTTCGACCAATTTATTAGTTGCTTCTGTCCTTAGGGACAGATGTTCAATTCACTGAAAGCAATTATGTGCATTAAAAGACTTTCAATCAGTTGCCTCATTCTGAACTTAGATTTCACATGTGCCTCTCTTCGTATTTTCGAAACAACTACAAGCTCAGAAAAATCTTTAAACCGACCCTTTTATTTATAACTTAGAAATCTACACATGCACGACTTATGCTCACAGCATAATCTCCACAGAAATTCAAGAGCCATAAAAATCAAGAGCCATAAAATGTAAGTTAAAACTGAAAGTATTGTAATTTAACTCTGGAGATTCACATTAAAAGTACGTGTTTACTCATGAAACATAATAGTATCTTTTCAAAAGTAATAGTCTCACTTTTTTTGCTAATTTTTCATTCTGAATGTCTAGATGCGACTATTATGCGGGGAAATCTACTACACAATATTGTACACTTTTGACAATATTTTCTGCTTCAAAACGGGGGTGCGACTATTACGCGAGTAAATACGGCAGTTTCCTATACCTTTTGATATAGCATGATTTAAACTCAAGAAAAATTTAGTGAAATGTGTATGGGAATCCGAAGACTTACAACCTAAAGTGAGGTTCCGTAATAGACTGTCAGGCGACTTATCACCCGGTCTTAGCAAAATAACTATAACTCAGAAAAAGGTTTAAGGTAAACTTTTTAATTTATACTTTAAGCTAATAAATGCACAACAATTTTTACAGAAACAATCTCCGTTGCTTGCGAGATTCAAAAACCATAAAATGCAATGAAATTCAAATATAATTAACGTTTGAATTCCCAAAATGCAACTCGAGCTTTGGCATTTATTGCAAGCGGTCGTACCACAGACATTTTACAGGATAATTGTAGCGAAGCATTTAGAATATTTTAACAACTTCTCGAAATTAAAAAACTGCAAATCTCATATAGTAAGTCTTAAATCTTAGTAATCCATAAACCACGATATTAGCTCTAAAAACTGATAATTAAAAGATCAAGTCTGTGAATATAATAAAGTGCTTTGGATTAACAATCGACAAGAAATTCTCTTGGATTCCTCATCTACAAAATATTAATCTTCGTGAAACAATAATAGCTAACTACCTATGACGCATGCATGGATATAACTGGGGATGCATGGATATTGTTACGGTTTTTGTATTGATTTATTTTGCTATTTTTAATAGAATTGTTATTAAATTGTTTCATTACCCCGAGAAATGCTGCACTTGACTTATTCGAAGAGAAAGCTACGCAGGACAAATTAAAAATACAGGAGCATCCGCATTTAATAAATAGATATCTCGTAACTGTACACCTTACGGAAAAAATCGAGAAAATACCAGACTATGCTCGGGCTGATTAAAAAGCTTATAAAAAGCCAGAGAAAGAACATCTCAGTTCAGTTGTTTATGAGTTTGTTTTGAAAACGTTTGTTTACTGTAGCCAATTCGCGGTGAAATTGGATTAGTTTTCTCTACGTTTCTCTGTTTTAAATTAAGTTCTGTTGAGCGTTTTTAGAAGTTTAAAAGATAACTACTGTGAGATATTGGGATATTGTACGAATATCTGAGGAACTTTAAGCATTTTGTTTTATTTGTTGTGATAATAATAAGTTTTATTCACTTTTCATCGGACATCTGCATTCAATTCATAACGAACCCGTACGCACGCAACAATTAATAAACATTAATAGCGAACTGCCTATGACGCATGCATGGATATAACTGGGAATGCATGGATCTAATCCCCAGAAAACGCGGATTCTTCTAAAAACTGTTATATCAAAAATGGTGAATTACAGAGCCGGAATTCGGGTACAACCAATGACAGTAAGAAAGATTAAATGTTTAAATTGAATTCAAAGGCTTTTTACTTTTTGCATTACTCGAACGTACAGCGCAACTTCAAATATGACTCTTGATATTTTAGCTGGTGCTCTTCCAGTATCAATCAGTGCAGAAATTGAAAGCACCTACACGAAAGTCCTTCAATTTAATCCAGCTGCAGAATTTAACAACCAAACCTTTCTGCCATCCAACGAAGAAAAGAAAAATAATTCCATCATCCAACGCTTCGCTGCAGCAAAATAAAATGCTCCATGTCTGACGAAAATTCATTCTCCAATTACATATACTGACGGATCGAAAATTAAACGAAAAATTGGTTCTGCAGTCTATTTTCAAATTTCCCCTTCAAATATCATCAAATGGAAATGCCATCTTCATAATAATAATAGTTTTTTCCAGGCTGAATTGTTAGCCATAAAAGCAGTTATTGAAATAGCCAATCTCAAAATTCTCAAGTAATTTACCATAAAATCTGACTCCCAAGCATCTATTTTAGATTATTTACTATTCAAAAGATTTCTAATTAAAGATCTACATCAGTAACCGAAGTTAAAAAAATTATGCAACAACTGTCTTCCTATGGCCAAGATATTTTTCAAATGAAAGTTCTGATATTGCATAAATTTAATGAGCTTTTACGTCCTGTGAATATGATCAAAAGGACTGCACTTGCGAGATTTATAAATTGTAATAATAGCTCTAGTAACCCCGTGAACATCTCTTTAATATTATTATTACAGCTCCCTTGCGACATTTCTTCCCCAGTCCTTATTATATTCATCTCATTGTGTATATCTGTTATTTTTGTTACACCAAAACATTGTTCAATTTAATTTATGAATTTCGAATTGTATTAAAACTATGATGTAATCTCCTTACGCCCTAAATCATTATTTTTAATAAACGCTGGATGCGGGATGCATGGTGGGATTGTACGATGTACCATAATAGGTAAATTCTAGGTCCTTTGGGCAGTTTCATTGTTTACTTCTTTCTTTGAAAACTCTTATAAGGCTTGAAAAATACTTTTAGAGTTAGTATGGGAAGGCATTACCAGTTGACCCATAGTACATCGCTGGTTTCTCTCATACTTTTACCTGTACCTATCGAACTTTGGCTCAAGAGTCTAAATGCGCGATTACCTTGGCTAGCAAAAGGCTAAAGGCGATTTAAGTGATTTTAAGAGATGGGCTGAAATATCCCGAAGTTCAGTGTCCCTGCCAAAAGTTTACTCCTTAACTTCAAGAAATGTTTTCTTATATACAAGTTAACTAATCTGCATCCTAATGAGAGCTGACAAAAAAAAAAAAAAAAAAGGAACACTACAAAAAAAGAAGGAACACACTAATAAAATAATAGTTTAATCAATAGAGCTTTAAAAATTACGTTTTGTTACCCCACATTTAATAAAAGCTATACCTACTTCTTTGCCGTTTTCTTCTAACTGTAAAAAATTTGAACTCATCTTGAGTATTAGCTACTGCACTTCTACTTATTAAACCAAATATTCTCAAAGAAGAAGGAAATTTCACCCAAAAAGGGAAAAGTTCTACCTCGAACTCTCAGACGGAAACTGAGACAGAAAGCTCAAGTCATAAAAATAGCTAAGGCTTGAAATCATTTTATAAGATATTTCTCCCGCCTTCTTAGCATGCTTTAGTGGTGTAGTGGTCAGTATGCTCGACGTGAATTCGAGAGGTCCGTGGTTCGAGTCCCGGCGAGGGCACATTGCTCATTTTTCATCTCTCTTGTTTCAAAAATACCTAATTTCTCTACACCTTGGCCAAAAAAGCTGTAAAAATAAAATTTAGGTATCATGTAAGTGTAACAGATATATTTCCTTGTTCATATTTATGAAATATAACAAATCTTAAATTTATGTATATTATAAATTCAATTTGCCTTTTGTAGTATTTAGAATGAAATATATAAAAAAAAACTAAAGAAGGAAATTTTTTTATAACTGTCTGCAACATTTTGATATGAGAAAATGAGCAGCAAAAAAGATTGAGCAGTTCTCTAATAAACAGTTAATTTGTATTAATTTCCTAAATAGGCAGACAAATACTAATAAAATAATTTGATCCCTTGTTTCAGCTCAAAAGTAATAACAATTAACACATAAAGAAAAAACCGAAACACAACTCCATCATTACCAATATATCGCGGAAACTATCCTCAGATTAGAGCGCATTGATCTAAATCAGGGGTTCTCAATCAGTGGTACGCTTACCACTGTTAGTACGCAAGAGAAAAATAGATGGTACGCAAAGAAGCAAAGTATTTCTAACTATTAAATCCAAAAATTAAAACCCCAACATCCTGATTGAGATTTTTCTCTAACACTCGTAAATTTATGCGATCTGAGCTTTTGCTTAAGAGTAGTGGTGATAGTAGTACTTTTTAGTGGTGGTACTAAAGGTTTTCAATTTTTGTTTAGATGGTACGCGTTAGTCAAAAGGTTGAGAACCGTTGGTCTAAATTATTTGATTATGGCGAAGTATATTACAGCTTATCTACTTAGTGGCGAGGTGACCGATAACACAACCCAGCCTTTTAAATGGCCAGGAACCGAATTTGAAGTGAATTATTTTACTGTTGAACTGCTTTAGCAAATCTGTCTCGGCCGTGACGGACCGAAACTTCTTCCTTGGAAAGAACAACAAACACTGAAGATTCACTTCTGAATTTTAAAAAGGTGCAACAGAACTGGAAACTGGCGAGTTGAGCTGGAACATACAAAAAAATTAACTCTGAACTGTCAAATGAATTCAGATTTAAACTCAGTCTCAAATTTTGCAGGCTTTTAAAATTTTGCCGCTGTACGAGAAGGAAGGTAGAGGAATTGATGGAAATGATTTTACACCTTTCCTCCATTCACGGATGATTTTACACTTTCGAAACCGCGTTACGCAGCCACTAAGCCGTCTTCACCTCAGGAACAAACTTTTCTATTCCGGAATTGAAGATTTCAATAGGTCGCATACGAATTTCTAATAGTTACCTGCGTAGACTATAACACACTACTAACGCATAATAAAACTATTAAACGCATAAATGTAAAGTAATTATTCACAAATTACTAATAATATCTAAAATTCACAAATTACTAATAATATCACAAATTACTAATAATATAAATATACACAACATTATTATAAAACAATAAATTATTTAAAACAAACGAATTTTATACGTTCAGTTTATGAAAAATCATTTTAGGACTTTGGTGGATTTTTCAGGCGTTCGTGATTATCAGGACCTGAATAAATCGCATATTTTATTTCTGCCAAATTGGCATTACCTTACAGCCTCTGGCTTTTATAATCCTAATCTCTGATTTACAACGTCTTGTGTTTATAAAAAGTAATGTTAAGGACTATGATATTTATATCAAATACGAGTAAGTACCTTTCGGTGTAAGGGTTTGGAGAGGCACGCCCTTCCGAGCAAGAAATCTGAACAAGCGTTCTACATTCTCCTTCGCTTCAGTATCATTTTTTGGATGAGGATCAATTCCGGGAACAACATCTCCACCTGCAAAATACAATGAATTTTTTACCTATAGAAATATGTGCATAACTTGTAGATTAATTAGGTTTCTTTGAAGCAGAGGTACAAGGAAAATGACCAATGCTCTCACCGGAACTCAAACCTGGATCTCCGAATACACGCCGAGTGTGCTACCGTTACACCCGAAGGGATGCGGAAAGAAGGGAGAAAATACCTCATATACTCCCCCTTTTGAAGGCCGACTGTGGATTAGGGGACTCACCCGCCAAATCCTGGTGGTGAATAATCATCATCCAGCACCTTTTTAGTTCGACCGCCACTGTAGAGTAATTGGATTATAATTATTATTATTATTATTGTTGTTTGGAAGCGGGAGATGCGAAAAATGAGCAATGCCTTCGCCGGGACTAGGCATGCTGAAAGGAGGGAGAAAATACCTTAAAAATTAATAACAGCGAATCATCATATACATATAATTGCGCGAGTACGGGATCGTAATGGACTAAATGCACACAGAACCGGTAATAGCTTGGTAAAATTTATTTTCCCCAAAGAAACACTTTAGAGTTCTGGAACTGTCCACAAAAGTAGTCCTACAGCTGTTCTCAGTGTAACCAAGTCATTCAGTAGTTACGGCTTCAGCCACTACTGAATCTAATAATCCACTACTAAGACATTCAACGCAATGGCAAAGCGCATCTAAAGAGCGAAGCTCGCCAGGGCTAAAGAAGAATTCAGAATTTAAGTCCTAAAAAGGCATGTCTGGAACTTTAAAACGATAACAATAATAGCTATGAGGAGCTCACTGAAACCTCCAGAAAAATGTGAATGATTTAATCACAAACTATCAGCTCTTGAGAATAAGGTTTCTGCTTTACAGATTGAGAGAAAGCAGCATTTAAAAACTATCTCCCAGCAAGGAAAAGGATTTAAAAGGAACAGAAAACTAATATTAGAAAAAGTTCAGAAACTGAGGAAAGACATTAAGAAAGTGAATCAAGAAAATGAAAAACTAAGAAAAATGAAAACGTATATTCAAAACATATTTACCGAAACTCAAATAAATGCATTAATGAAAAAAAAAGCGAATTAAATGGTCTCCAGACGACATTTCAAAAAGCATAGTAATCAGATCGTTATCCATAAAGTCATACGACTTCTAAAAATAAATTTTTCTTATTAAAAAAATGGGTATTCCGCTTCCAAGTGCAAGTACACTGAAAAGATGGTGCTCAAGATTCAGTTGCATTCCTGGCATTTTAAATGATGTACTGTTATTGATAAAAAAAAACTTGCTATTGGCAAACAAATTGCCTAAATTGTCGTTAAAGATAAATGCTAATGACTGTGAAGATGTGAAGAAAGTTGAAGCATATTTGACAAAAGAGCTGTTAGAAACAGCCTTTTTCTTCAAATGAAATTTCTCAGCATTTCAAATGTTTCAGTCTTCCTGATGCAAAGATGATTTGATTAATTACGAAGACATCTATGATGAATGTATGTCACTTCCTAGGGAAAGCAAAATTTATGATTCAATGAAAGATATATCGGCGTATGAATAAGAATCGCTCGCTTATGTGGCAGGTTATATTGCATATCGTATGAAAGAAAAAGATTCTACTTTGGGTGAGATATCAAAAAAATTCGTAGACATTCCTAACAACTCAAATTGGATATTTTTAATATCTAAAGGAGGATTAACTGTACCATCACCAAGTTTGGATGGAAACGATGATGAAAATGGAAAATGTTTTCCGTTCTTTTCATGGCAGTTCTTTTCGAAAAGGTAGAGGTGTAATTCAGAATCTCATTTCTGAACTTCGAGAAACGTTTTCCCTCCCGTGAATAAGAGTGCAATTTCGTTTATTTTGCCGTTTACGAACATTTATAAGGGTTCGGCACTTGAATAGGATGCAACCCTTGTATCGGCAAGAAAAAGCTGACCAGAAAGCAAATAAATGGATGAAAGAGTAATAGGAGGATTATCGAACCAAACTATATAGCAAAAAAATCATGTAAGTTGATTTCATATTATTCCTACCAAAAATAATAATTTGAATCATTACTTTGTTTATTATTCACTTAATTTGTGACCTAATTTATGCACCTTTCAGTTAATTATTTGGACTACTATATAAAATATTATATATTACTATATGCTAATTTAGACTGCTAAATTTTATTAAATAAAATAAACCATGAAATTCTGCATAAACATAAATTAGTGTCAGAGCATATACTTTTAAAATGTAAGAATACATGCTATTATTCCAAAATATATAAATACTATTTTAAAATATTTTCATTATTTTTTGAGTAATTGACGTTAAATAATAATACTGATGTTCCATAATAATTCTTTCATAATAGACATTGCAAAAAGCTTACAAAATTCTACTACTCATTATCAACGCTAATTGAAAAGCAAAAATGGAAGAATTGAAATTTGTTTCGTTTTGATGTGTTATGAAATCTATTATTAGCATTAACTAATTTTTAATTAGATAGATGTGTAATGTTTTTAGCATGTATTCTCAAAATGTATTTGCATATTTTTATTTATAATTTCTGTAATGCAAATTACTTTGTGACTAACTTATATTTTAACGCAAAAGAATTCTTCGTAAATTTAGAAATTTACGTATGTTACCGGTGGGTTACTATTTGCATATATTTGAAAAGATGATTATGAAAATGAATTACCACATTTAGGGTACACTCGACCTAAAAAATTAGTTATGTTTACGCATATGTGTTAATTAAAAAAATAGTTATGTTTATGCATGTTTTACTTACGTTTTACGCATATTAGAGTTTAATTTGGCATGACGTAAATGCATTTCTAGTTCATATATAAATGCATGTATATTGCAATTTCATGAGCTAAAATCTCGGCTCATATTGATTATTAAACTATTTTTCAAACCGTTTTGATTCTCAAGCAAATGCTTAAGAAACTGAACAGCAGAACTGACCAAGCGAACCCAACTACGTCATCAGTCTCTTTTTTCGGTTTCAGCCGCGAGAAGCTGATGAACTAGCCCTCTTTAGCCCTGGAAGCTCACACAGAGATTTCGTAATACTTCGAAATCTAATCTGAACTGAAAAACTGAGGCCTGATGCTCTCTCCAGTCTTTTATACCCTCCCCCCGGCTGAAGAAAATTTACATCCATTTCCAAAATTACTGGACGCCATATACAGACAGACAGATAGCCAAAGTAGACAGATGTCTTGTTTTGCACCCGCTAAGTCTTTCTGTCCGTTCGTAGCATTGATCCGAAAGTTTTTAAGGCCAGGTAAAAAAGTCGGTAAAAAAGAGAAAAAATATAGCCCAGACTATATATATATATAAAATATTTATGAACATAAATGAGACAGAGAAGATGGAAGAGAAGATTGAAGTAACCTTATCAGGTTCAGTGTTCCGCCTTACTTGCTTGGGGAACATTGAAGAACCTGACTCGGAACAGGGAGCTTACTAAAGCTGTGTCCAAAATGTGGGAGGTAGGACAAGATACACAGGAAGGGTATACGAAACCCTTTATTTTTCACTCTTTACAATAATTTCCGTACTCGGAATACAGAGACCAACTACTTGTGGTCTGAACGTAAGAATATAAAAATATTAACTAAACTCTAACTTAAATTTGGAATAATAAACAAGGGCCTACGTGGAAGATTGGCCGTATATTAACAGGAAGCCGTATGTAGTACAGAGAACTGTTAACACTACAATACGTTTAAAATTATCAAGGGGATTAAACCTCTGGCCTGGAAGGCAACCAGCAACCGAGTAAAACTGCTAAGGTAAGCGGCCTGCTTCGACAAACTCCTTCCTCTTCTTGCTTGGCAAAAAGCCACAACTTAAGTACATCCTTGGCGTTCGCCAGACAAATTTGCATAAATAAGTTAAAGCTTTTAATTCTGGCCGGAAGTAGAAAATAAGAAGTTATAACGTTGCGCGCCTCCAACTTGCACGCAACCAAGAGGTGACTGTGAAAACTTGTATAAAAGATAGAGCCTAGTGAAGGGTTTAAGTCCCTTTTTATTCAACGTAATAAATTACAGTTGCGTCCTCTTGACGCTTACAGACTGTGCCAACTTGGCAGTCAAATAAAAATAATAACCTGAAAAGAAAGTAAAGACAAGATTCTAACTACGAGGCTCTCTAAAATAACTAACTCACCGCGTTTTACAATACCGCTGCTAATTCAGCAGACTTGAAGCTCACTGGAACGATTACCACTACTTCCCGCCAAGCACATAGGCCGCAACGCGGGGTTTCTTCAATTCTCGCTAACTACCTCCGCGCTCGCTAAGTAAGAATATCACACCGAACTCGTTTCCTTCTATTTAATCAGAATACTTCCGCTGATAATTTGAATCCTTGCGCGTTCTACTCAAATTTACATATTCTGGCATTGGCAGTTCCAGGGGAAAGTAAGGCTTGACAGGAAAGAAAGATAGTTTAAACTTAAAATAAATGTTAGTTAAAAAATATAAACCCTACATTTGCCGCTGCCAGAATTTGGAAAACTTGGAAGCAGGTCCTACAAACGACCTGTTGTAAGTTTATCTAATTCTGAACTAACTGGCGAGAACCTCGTTTACACAAAAAAAAAAAAAAAAAAAAAATATCTTATGTAACCATTTGTATCCTAAAATTCTGTTGATCGTTACAAAGCTGTCTTCTTACAGCAACCTTTCCTGGACTTCATCAATCAATCTTGGTCTTTCCTTCCAGCATCTGGAAGGAATAAGTATCAGTATCTTTCTACATACATTATAATTTACACTTTCTTGACACAATAAATTTTTGTTTTTAAACGATTCGTTTTTCTTAGTTATTGCTTACTTCACATTCATTCAATTTTTCAAGCATTAATTTAACTTTACCCTGGCTCTCCACCGTGTGTGGTGTCAAACGGGAATATTCGTGTTTTAGTCTTACAACACTTCCCCTAACCACCATGATTTGTTAGAATTCAACGACCAAATAGACACACCTTACTCGACATTCTAC